GGGAAGATTCAAGTGCTTGTTTGTCGAAGATTGATGGCTTTTGCTAATTGCACGTTCTCCAGCCTACTTAAACTGTTCTCTAGTTAGGAAGATTCCGATTCTTTGCAGATTTATAGGGCCTAGTCCCCGTTCGGGAGAGGTTTAATTGGCTATTGTCATCTCATTTCAGAGCTTGGGTGGGCTTCTTGACTAGAATCGATAACGATCAATGAGAGTCGATGAAAGATTCGGTCATTGATTGTGACGGTTTTTTTCCATTTTTTTTATTTTTTCCTTTGACTTCTTCATTTCTTTTCTAAATATAATCTCCGCTCGGGTTTCAATATCTCCTCTCTTCTCTTCTGTTGTTTTGTTCCGCCCTCCATTTTTTTATTCAAAATTAGAGCTGGTAGAGTACGTTGAACACATTGGGCATTGATTTCAATACCCCAGCTTCCTAACAGATTTTTGACACTCTATCCTCTGTACACTGACCAACAAAATTCAGGCCTGATTTTGATCAAATTTTCTCGCTAAGAGTAGATTTGGCGAGATTATGGTATTAGTTTGACCCTTCAAATACAAACACCGCGTTCTGCCAGATCTCAGTGGGAGACGGGCAAGCGAATCGTGAATTGCCGCTCCGTCGCGCGCGGCAATGAACGCGACATCTCTCTGAATCTTGCGCAAGACTTTCGACTGCAGCATAGGATTTCATCAGATAAGGATATGGTAGACACCTATGTCTATATTTTTGGTCATACCTTGTCTGCTCTCGACCAATACCTCCAAAATCGTCGACGTTGCACGCGACGCCCGCTGGCGCGGCGAATTACGATTCTCTTGCCACATACCCGGTCACAGTCGCCGGGACATAGCGCATTGCCGATGCTTTCTCGCACACAGATTTGCGATATTAGAGTTCTGCGAGGGTCGAACCACTCGTTGGAAACACTCACACAATTGGTTTTGAAGTGTTTTTGGGTCCTGGAGGTCGGCCCCATTTTTGCCGCCAAAAATAGGCTGCGATTCTTGTGTTTATGAAGTAAGCTTCCCTCGCGAAATTACAGCATACCCTCATGGGGAAAACTTTACGGTCCAATATGTGATATGAATAGCGCCAGATTTTTTCTTCTGAGTAATCGCCCGTCTGCACGTTGCTTCTCTAAGAAATGTACAGGTCGTGGTCCATTGATATTACGAAATGCTTCCATCACCCCTCCCCCTCCCTAATTTTCCTGTTTCTGTACGACCCCTTCCACGCCCTGCACACTGTCTTTCCAAATTTCGCCAAAATTTTGGGAAAATTGGAGAGCGGGGATAGCCCCCTCCCCCCCCCACCTACCCCGATCGACGACCGAATTATAGTATTGCAGCATAGTCATAGCCAACTAAGCCGAGCGGGAGAAAGGGTCAGACACACCCCAATAAGGGTTCTACATTACTAACATTACTATGTACCCTGATATTTCCGGCTGTGCGTTCATATGTCGTAGGTAGGATGGACGACCTTGCTCAAGGTTTTGTGGGCCACATTAGTCTAAGAGGTTTACAAAACTTTTTGCAAAGCGGTAGTTTAACCAGTACCAGCGCTCAGTTCTTCTCCTACATCATCTCCGTCATCACACACGATGTGCGCACTTCTCGTTTACGTGGCGCGTTCATGGGGTTTCCTGGCATCCCCGACGCAGGTTCTTACGTGGCTATCCTATTCGTAGTTTCTTTTTCGGCGCATTAGGCTGGCTAGACACGATCTGTCGTCCTAGGTGTTCTAGAAACGCAACTATATCGTGGAACAATATTGTGAGCAGGGCACGTTGAGGGAATCCCGAGCGAGGGGGGGTCGTATTTGATCTGAGAAAATTTTTTTAATAGTTCTCGTTTTACGGGCGTTGAGAAAAGTAAAAGGGTCGGATTTGCTGTTGAGAGAAATTGGTCGCGTTAGGGGAAAATTCCTTCCGCTTGCTGACTTTTCGCAGTTTTTCATTTTTCCTGTTTCACGAGTGCTATATATTGATAGGTGTATAGGACGTTGTGATCGTGTGGATTTGCCATCAAAGGGCTTTCTTCTACTTTTTCGTCTTACCTTTTTTTATTTCCATGGTGGTTTACTTTTTTCTCTTGAGTATGTCCTCAAAATTGACTGTCAGCTCTACCGGTAGGGTTGGACCACTTGATCGGGAGAATATGGGCTTCACGTCACCTAGTATACAGGTGGAGAATCTTACCTATTTCAGAGCCCCCCCCCCCCCCCCCCCCCCGCCCCCGCGGTAGCTTATTTTTTTCTGAGGTTGGCTTGGGGGCACCGAAGTTCTCGCATAAGCTTATGCAGGTCACCTTGGAAAGGCCTGTTGATTCCTGTGACCTAAGTGGCTCACAAGTACTATTAGAGCTTCACAGGAGCTTACAGGCCAGTTTAAACATGAACTAACGAAAAAGAAATAGCAATAGTTTGAAATGTCCCCTCCAAGCCGAACAGCGTCGGTGAGGCCAATCAACGGAGCGCATACATTTCATTGTGAATCTGCTTTTTTAAATCTACCAAACACCGACCCAGCCTTTCATTCCTAATGTCTTTTCGCTTCCCTCATTTGAATAAAAAGCGAAGACAGCGAAAAGACGGACCACATCAGTGATTTCAAGACTATTTTATAACCCTATCAAAAATATAAAGTCGCACCTCCCACTCGGCATCTCTCCGCTAGATCTCAATAGCTGGAGAATAGCTTTCTCACGTGGAATTGGTGAATAATGATCTCTTAAAACCCATGAGCTCGTGATATGTGTGGGAACGACAGGCCGTTTTGCCGACTCAAGGCCCTCCTCTCTTTATATTGGCTTTATCATCATGGCGCATCTCGGCGAGGGAGGGGCATTTTGCACTTCTTCACTGCTCCACTAGTACCGGTTCAAGAAACTCACATGGTAAAGCCTGTAAACTCATGGAATCACTCTCTAGATGGCTCTACACGTCGAGGGTATGTAGCAAAAAAGCAAAATGTCCCCCGTCGCCGAACTGCGTCTTTCAACATTACTACTGATGCTGAGCTGATTATTGCTCGCTGTTTGTTCTACTCTTCTGAACAATATGTGTTAGAGAAGTAGACGGCGCAGTTCGGCTTAGAAGGGGTATTTTCTGTCCGTTGCCTTTGTTAGTTGGTGTTGAATGAATTACCTTCATGAGACATGTAGACCTTTCAAAGCACCGCTATCGCATATCTTTACAATCATTCACAGGGCTTCAAAGAAGACTTCGGCATCACAAATGCGAGCCAGGAAAATGCCCCCACAAGCCAAACTGCGCCGAATAGATTGTAGAGTGAAGGGGTCTGAAGTGGGGTTGGGGGCAGAGACTGAAATTGCATATGAGTATTGGGCAGAAAAGTAAGCTGTGCTTCAGTGGTGACAGGGTTGCTCGAGTGGGAGCCCATTTGGCCCTGCAGTATGGTAGGGCTACAGAGTGAATTCTGTTTGCTCGTGGGACCCGATCCACAATATACGATTTGTTAGGAGCTTTCCTAGAGGAGTCTTCCTCGAGGGCTAGAAGTCGTCTTGGTGCTCGTTTGCCATCCCTTGGAATCCATTAGCTAATCGCACTGATCGAGCGGTCGTCCTCGCATCGCGTGACCTATCGTTTCACCTGATCTTCGAAACCTTGTGAATGCGGTCGCCCCCCTCCCCCCTCGATCTTTGATCATTAACGGAGTTCACAGAGCGGGCACATCATTATCGCTGAGGAATCTTCGCCTTGCGCGAGGAGAGGGGTGTACCTGTCCCTGTGAAAAATCCTGTCGAGCACCCTGTAAATTCCTGTCAAACTCATCAAAGTCTGGTCAAGATTGGGGAGAAAATGGAGGATTGTCCAAATGGCGCTAGCACCATTTCGACCAGCTTGACAGAAGTTTAGGAGGGTAGTTGACAGGTATTTACATGATTCGCAGGGTGAGACGCGATCAGGACACGTCCTGTCGTTGGGGGAGATTTTCGCGAACTACTACCCCTCCTCTAAATTTCCTCCTTTCCTACAACCCTCATTCCCTTTCACAACTTCCATCCTACCAACTGTATTTCCGAGTTCCTTCCATTTTCCGTTGTTTTTTCCCCAAAAATTCCTTTTATTTCCCCCAAAAACACCCGTAGTAATAGGAGGAGCAGGGAGGTTCAGCGCTTGTGAAACAGAAAAAGCCGATAAAAGTCAACAACTGACAGCATTTTTCTCAAAGAGGAATGCGATTCCCTACACTCCTTTCAGCAACCAAATAGGATTCCCCCTTCTCCTCCCCCATCCCCATGCCCCTCCCCCAGCGTACGACGTGCCGTGAACATAATTTTGAAAGAACAAAGGAAAAATAAAAACACTAACTGAAAAAGTTACAGATGTACCCTCCCTAGCTTGATTCTTCCTGCTTTCCCCCTCCCCCTCCACCCCTGTTTTCCCTTGTCGGGGATAATCATGTTGAATGCCAGCGCAAAGTGATCGGCCTGACGGATCAATTCATGCTAATCTGTTTACGGAAGCTAATGGATTCGTTCTATCTCTATCTATCTTCGGCGACATTATGATTCATTTTCAAGTCGAGTTTATCGACGGAGGGGGGGGGGTTGCTGCGTCGTCGTCATCGTCGTCGTCGTGACCGTCATCATCTAACTGCTGCAGGTGTCCGTTGCGGTCGTTATTGGCTATTTTGTGTAACGTTTTTTTTGTATTGTTGTGGAACTGCAACCCCCATAACTCTTTCCGTTGTTTCAATCATCGCTCGTCATGGGCGAATTTCTCACTTATCAATCGGAATGTGACCTCGCGATATCATGAGCGATGGCCATCATCAAATCAAACGTCCAGTGTACTGCCCACACCCATTCTCCTGGGCGCACAGAAGATGAAACTGACATTTTCGGCTTATTTTCATTTGAAGCTGTTTTTGTATTACACTTGTGTCTTGATGCCATTTTATAGCTTAGTCATTTATGTTTTCCGATGATTTTCGGGAAGAATTGATTTTTCAAGCGGTGATTTTCAGATGACGAAGCCGCCTATCCGAGTGGTTGCGCAACCGCCGCCGTCTCGATTCTCTTCACAGTCACAACACTACACGACGTCTTCTCCGAGTTCCACGGCTCTGAACCCATCACAATGTGGCCTTTCATCAGTCGGTTCCATCAAAACATCATCCTATACAGTTCCTACAATTAGCGTCCCTCCGATGGCCAACAGGTGAAAATTAAAGTTTTTTGGCATTTTTTTGCAGTCAATAGGAGCCGTGCTGTTTCGATGTGAGACATTTACACCGGAGACTTTACCTTTTCCTCCCACCCACATGACAGCAGTCTTTTGGTGAAAATTGAATTAGTTTGCGAAAAAAGCCGCAAAAACTCGGAAAAATGGTAGGACGTTGGGATTTGGGGAGATGGTAGGTGGGATGGGGAAGGGAGGGGGTGGCGTACCAAAGCCGGAACGAGAACATTTTGAGGAGGGAGGAGACCTATTTCTGCCCACCATCAGGGCGTATCCAGTTTCACAGTTGTCTCTATTTTCCGGCAAAATTGGAAGTCTGGAAACGGCTCTGAAGAACGGATCTTGAATGGGTCTTTCAAACGCACATCAATGGCTCTGGGAATCCAACCGGGTGCATTGCCACTAAGAGAGGGTAAATTGGTTTGGTGGAGACGGTTTTCCGATAATTAACTTCACCCTTCCACGTGCAATGCGGTATGCTTGCAGTCGCGCGTAGCGTACAAATCACTAATTACTAGAGTGATCAAGAGTTTTCTACCCACCACGTGTGACGGAAATAGAAAGTTGAATCGGAGATGATAAGAGAATCATGATGGTGGAGAGGATGAGAATAGGGATCGTATCGGGGGGATAATTTGGGGTAGCCAAAACTTTACACAATGCGATGATGTACTCCGAGTCTATCCCAAAGTCCGTCGAGCGAAAATCAGCGCTGAGAATTTTCTCTCCAGGTCAAATGCGACCTCCTTGTACTCTCTTTCTAAATTACGTGCCGCCGTTGGGGAAAACTTTTCCAAAAGAGAATATCCCTCCAAATTGTCTCCTCTGGCACGACCCCTCCCCATTCCTCATTCTACCTACCATCATCCTAAGTTTTCCCAACTTCTTACCACTTCTCTGCAGTTTTTTTTTTCGAAAATTCTTGCAGTTTTGCCAACTAAAGGACAGCCTCCCTGCAGCGATCAAATGCGACTCCTACGCCCCCTCGCTGGAGGTCCCCACGACATGTCTGTCTGCTGCGGGAAGTTTGGAGGGCAATAGGGGTCAATAAGGAGCAGGAACTGCCACTTTATTTGTGTGCCGTTTTTATGCACCCTATTGAATAGTAATGTAGTTGTGGTGGCGCAACAAAGAAGAATTGTTTAGTAAGAAGTAGCGCATTGACGCAGAAACAGGATTGTAATGACCAGCATAATGATAGTGGCGTACCGCGGTGTAGCATAGTAACAATGCGGTGGTTGATAGTTGGGGGGGGGATGTAGTGGAAGGAACTACAGAACCGGTAAAAAGAATTTTTGTTGTTATTTCGTAGCCGATAGAATCGCCAATCCTGGTAACTTACACTGCAGCAAGCCGAAAAATCGCAATTTTTACATGCTTTTTCTCAGTAACAGAATTGTAGGAAATTTATGGAACCAACTTCTATTTCTGGTTAAGGCCTTCAAAAATGTTAGAGCGTAGAGTGCCCAATTTGAAACTTTTTTCTCTTCTGCGTTGGCAAACAATAGAACCCCTGCTGGCAGATTGCGTATCTTTACTGTTTTTTTTTTCAGAAGTTACAACGATATGGTCGACTATGCGGAACAACAGCGGCGGTTGATCGAAGCGAATCGGTATTTTTTTTCCATTTGGAAATATGTTTTTTTTAGAAAAAAAAATATCATAATGGATTATAAACGGTAGGTAGTTGGTGGGACCCAGGGAGCTAGTAGTCAGGATTTGGAAGGAAGGGGGAAGTTCTGAGAGGGGAGGGATCGCAGCTTGCAAAAATTTTCCTCAGCGACAAGACGTGCCCTGTCTGTATTAACGCTTCGCAGCTTCCTGAGAGTTTACAGGTCTCCCCTCCCCCCAGAGAGAGGTGTTCAGTTGACATGAGCTAGCAAAAGAAATTAGCGGAAGTAGAATATGGCCCTTCCCACTCTTAGCCAAGCAGCGCTGAAAATCCATAGAGTTAGTTGAAAAATTGAACAAACATGACTTATTTGGAGGAGGGGGGGACAATAAAGAAGGAGGTAGCCCAGTGTTCTGGATAGCCCATCTCATCACATGACGTGCTTTTAATGGAAAAGTGGACCGAATTCAGGTATGATTTCAGCCGTGAAGTTGAGCGACGACAAACGATGCGCGCGCAAGGTGGTGTTGACGCTTCGCAGAAACTGAATCTGATTCGGAAGAGATCTTGCCGAAGAAGAAGGGGAACTAAGAAGGTTTGCAAGGATGCTCTTATAACGTGGGTTGTACTAGCGCTGAAATATTTTTCTAGGTTATCCGAGCTGGAACATGAAACGCGCAATTTGACGAGAAGAAATGGTGAAAAGGAGATCCAATTGAATCAGCTAAGCGCTGAATTACGAGAGCAGCAGAGTGTGCTTCGTGCGGCGGCTAGTCGAGTAGAGGCCCTACAGTGGCAGGTAAGAATTGTTCACTTATAAACCTGTTTGACCACCGAAGCCACACTCCAGTGCTGTTGTTCTGGCTTTTTATAAAGTTCTTGGATTACTCAAAAGTACATTCCACGCTGTTCCGTCTGATTATTGCTGTTTAACGCCGCAGTGCGCGATCCGAAAGTTATCACAGGAATGCTGAGTTGTGGGCAAAAGTCGGACCACGGACGGGATTCGAACCCGCATCTTCTGCTTACCGGGCAGTTGCGTTCCTATTACGCTACCGAGGCCACTTTTTTGACCTCTCAGATGGCTATTTGTACCATTGCCTTCGAGCACACATTCCACGCTGTCAGCGTGGGCGGAGTCATCCAATAGTGCACCACTCTCATTAGTGCGGTCTACCTTCCAAGATGGGAAAAAGGACTGGCGCGCCAGTGAGCAGAGCACCTGTGACTCAGTGAAACATAGTAACTACCTTATCGGCATGAAATGTGCCTTCAAGGGGTCCTGCATGTTTAAGTCGGCGTAAGAGTCCGCTGTGCGCTGCACACAAGCGTGGAGACTGTGTATTGACTAATATACCTTAAGGAGAAGGGCATTTAGAGATCTTGTTGCGGAAAGTAGGAACTATGGATTTTGTCGACTTGAGTATTTCGCTAACTGATTCATCGACCATGGAGGCTTCTTTGCTTCGTTTAAGGCTTAGGCCTAGGTTCGGCTTGTCAGGGGTTTATTTACGAACAAGTCGGTCTTACTGAACGATGATAAGTGGAGAAAGGGATAAGGCTTTTGAAGTTGATTTAAGTCTTGTTCGCTGCGGAGGCGGGGGCGTGGAGGGCTGGGTTTAGCGCGGAGCCGCACTGTTTGGCTGTTTTCATCAAATGTTTGCTGCTGCCCCGCTCAAACAGTTGATGGCTGGCACCGCCCCGCAAATCTCAGCCACCGCCTGAATCTCCATCAAACCCGTAGCGAACAGCGGCTGCAAGCCTTGTTGCGCTTTAATTTCACTCCCATTCAATACCGGAGTGAGCTATTGAACTCCCATTAAGATCCCCCCCCGAATAATATTTCTCGAAGACCATGTGGTAAGGAAGTCATTCCCCTCCCTGACGGTCGTGGTATCCATTCAGCGGCGTCTTGTCAGATGAACTTGAGCCTGCTACCGATCCAGGATAGCCCCTCTACTCCGTAATTAGCACCACTTGCCACTACTCTTCATGTGTACTGAGAAAAGATAATGGAGTATCGTTAAACTCTTGACAGCTCGACCTTTAGGAAACAGTTCGGGAACAGTAGTTGACTCATGCTTTTCAATGAAAAAATCAAAAAAAAAATGTGAAAACTCGGGTTTTTTTTTCTCAATTAGGCAATCTCAAATGGAATCGGCGAAGCTAGAACGCAGAAAGAGAGAGTGGTGACTCAAAAAAAAACCATGAGAAACACCTGCCATCATGTTTTTGTCCTTGGGTTTCCTTTTAGCTGGGAACTCGCACCCATTTCTCCTAGTTTCTATTTAGATCTGCCGAAATTCATTTGAGGGAGCCATTAGGGGGACTAGTTCTTGTCAGTTCTTGTGTGTCTCTCTGCGTCTTAGACAGTGCAAAGCTTAGTTCGGCGACAGGGGTGGGGGCATTTTGCACTTTCGCTGCTTCTCATTCTTGTGTAAAACCATCAAAAGGAAACTTGTGAAATCGGAGAAGCCATGAAGTAGTCCTGTCAAGTTTGTAGAAACTACTGCTGGTCTCGGCCTTGTGAAGATTACCTGTCAATTCTCCTAAAGTAATGAACACGACAACTGGAAGCAGCAAAAGTGCAAAATGCCTCCCCTCCCCCCCCCCTCCCCTCCCCATCAGTCGCCTAACTGCGACGTTTGAGATTTGTCATTTTTCATTTTCCAATGGAACTATTCGTAAATGATCCTAATTTTGTTCAGATTGATGAAATATATCGACGAAGGAAGGCTGCAGCTGCAGCGGCACTCTCCGAACAGCGAAAAATGCAACAACAGGTTGTAAGCTAGTTTTTTTTCCCCTCCATTTTACTAAGTGCTAACATATGTCTCTCAGAAAAGCACCCATTTTCTCTTTAAAGGACTTCTTAATTCTTTCAAGTTTACAGGCTCCACGAGTACCTGATCCGGGCCGTACGGTGGCGGTTAACGAGCGACCTCGCGCCTCGGTAGAGCCATTCCAAGCCAGCCTTGTCACTACGCATGATACGGAACCGGATCTGAAAGAGGAAAAATGCGCTGTGGGTGACGTCTCACTGGACGGGTATGTCACTCAACTCAGTTTCTAGTGACTATGGATTCGGTTGTTCAGTTTCTAGTGACTATGGATTCGTTGTGTAGAAGAAAATAGTAGCTGTTCCTCCGAGATGACAAGGAAGTTCCGGTTCTGTCTGTGCAGGGTGCATTTTTATGTGAAGGCATTGTTTAGTAGCTTATCTTCAAGGGTTTTTAGTTATAGAGAGGAGAGACAGAGGAGATCTGGGATCTGAAGTACAACAATTCCAGGGTTCATTATAGAACTTAAAGGTACCTTCCGCGATTAGCCGAAATATCCACCCACCTTCTGTAAAAAGGTAACGTGGGTTGGTAGCCAGAAAGAATGTTGCTTTTTCTCGGTCCTAAAGTGCTCAGGGACGGGCTACAAGCTTGTCGTTTAGGCCCATGAGGCTTATGCGCGTCCGACCTGTCGAATCAGTGGGGGGGGGTACAATTAACATCGACAAGACAGGGTGAGATAGGAAATTATGAGGGCCTAATTAAAAAAGTTACATGATAAGGGTAAGGGGAAATAGTTAATATCTTCGAGATATCAACAAGCGGGATCTCATGCGATCACTCACTCCTTTCGCCGTATGCACGCACTATGCTCGGTAGTAAAGGGGTTTCATGGTGGAGCGTTTCAGACGGTTGCTTTTGCGTTTTTCTCTACTGGCGAGCAAATTGTCACATACGATTTCGTTTTTGAACTCCCAGTACCCGCGATTCGCAATCGGGAAATGGCTTTTCAGTCAGTGTATTATTCATCGACTAGGTTTTTGGATGCTTCTCTCGCATGGGCTCCGCAGTAAGAGAAAGTTTCAGGAAAACGTGACTTGATGAATTGTGGGCGCCATCCTGTGCTAATTAAGCTTCCCCCCCCCCCCATCCCGCATTGATCATTTTATCGCCGGACGACCAACATCAGACAGATAATGGTCTGAGATTTTCGAAGTGAAAAGTAGGGTTTCCGGCCACCCTTTGGCAAAGCGCAATAAATTCTTTCATTTGACCGGAGGTCATAGTAAAAGTATATACAGAAGATTTAGCGCAGTTCGGCTTAGTGGTGGCACCAAATGGTACTCAGCGAAGCCCGAACAGGCCATCTTGTCAGATCCTGTGAGTTCCTGTGACTAAAACGATTCACTCGCACCATTTCGCCACTTTGCGGGAGTTAACAGGCCTCAACAAAACGAGGCTCGCATAAACCTGCCAAAGAAACTAGCGGAAGTGCGAAATGCCCCTCCCAAGCCGAACAGCGCTGAAGATTTTTTACTAAGTCACTGCAGTTCTAATGAGATTTCT